TGCTTGTTACACTTTTTTTCTCTGCCTATACAAAGACCACAAAAGAAAGCAGTTGGCTACATGAAGCTTGACAGAGCACCACAAGGAGAGCATATAAATCTTCTTACGTTGGCTGTGTGCCCTTGGAATTAAAGGGAAATTTTGTTTTGAATGTTTTTTCTCCCAAACACACTAGATTAACAAAGTATATTGTGCCTTCACAGCTTAATATATGCTGGAAAGTTTGGCAGTTGTTGGCATCTGAGGCAAGGCCTTGTGTTCCTAATCCTTCCTTCTTCTTAAAGTAGAAACCAGACATTATAAGGGCTTGTGCAAAAGTCTTGGGGAACTTTGTGAACACCTCTCAGGTGGCACCTCTCAGGTAGGCGCCATTGCCATTATAAGAGAACAATGGAGGCCTTCATGGTGAGTTCTGGCACCTCTTTTTCTAGAAAAATAGCACTGCGCAGCAGGGATGCCAACTTGAAAAAAATAGGGGGTATGCCCCACCCATATATCACATGACATGATGCATGCACACCATTTGAATGGCAATGCCCATCAACTTTGGGAGGGCAAGGTCCCCTCAAATATACAGTGGTGCCCCGCAAGACGAATGCCTCGCAAGACGGAAAACCCGCTAGACGAAAGGGTTTTCCGTTTTTGAGTTGCTTCGCAGGACGAATTTCCCTATGGGCTTGCTTCGCAAGACGAAAATGTCTTGCGAGTCTAGAGATTTTTTTTTCGCTTCCCCCCCCTTTATCTAATCTGCTAAGCCTTTAATAGCCTTTAATAGCCTTTTAGCAGCTAATCCGCTAAGCCTTTAAGCCTTTAATAGCCTCTAAACCGCTAATAGCGCTAATCCGTTAAGCCGCTAATAGGGTTGCTTCGCAAGACGAAAAAACCGCTAGACGAAGACTCTCGCGGAACGGATTAATTTCGTCTTGCGAGGCACCACTGTATCATGGGAGGGCAAAGCCCCCTTGGCCCCTAGGATATTGCTCCTATGACCCACAGAAAAAGATCCCTGTCTCGGGTAAGTTATTGCGCAGGGTAGGCAAAACAACATGACCGCATTTATTTTTAAAATTTATCAGCTCACTTTTTAAAATTTATATTTAATTGCATTGCAGGGGTTGTTTATATGAAAACAACAATAGCAACAAAGAAACGAACTAAAATAAAACCAGAATGGTGGTGGGAAGGAAAGGAGGAGAGCATTCATAGGTTTTGCTTATTCTCCATTTACAGGGGTAAATCATAAATTACCTTTACATTCAACTGAGGGAAGAGTTCAGCTTGGTAAGTACAGTATCTAATTTATGTAACTTTTCAGCTCACATTTAAAAAGTTTAACAATGAGTTTTACCCATCTTGTTTTTCACTAGAGAACTATCAGGTCAAAATGGATTCTCCCTTCATCAAGCATTGTTTTATCCTCCTTCAAAGATGGCATACTTACTGGGTTTTTTGGTTGCAGTATTAATCATGCTATTTGCTATAGTCCTCACGTATCATGTGTAGGTTACTCTCCATTTACTGCTAGTATGGTCTTGTATACTAGAGATAGGCTACTCTCCACTTACTGCTGGTATTGTAGCCATTGCTACAGTAAGTTTGTAGACCCTCCCTGACAAAATAAAAATAAAAATGTAGCTACATCACCACATCATGGTACAACAAAAAATGTCTATGATCTCCTAACATACTCTCATGTAGCATTTTTAATTTGTCTTGGCTTTCAGTTTTGTCTATCAGGCATAGTTTTTAAATATATTGCATATACAGTGGTACCTTGGTTTACAAACTTAATCCGTTCCGGAAGTCCGTTCTTAAACCAAAGCGTTCTTAAACCAAGGCGTTCTTTCCCATAGAAAGTAATGCAAAATGGATTAATCCGTTCCAGACTTTTAAAAACAGCCCCTAAATCAGCAATTTAATATGAATTTTATTATCTAACAAAACCATTGATCCATAAAATGAAAGCAATAATCAATGTACTATACTATAAAATAAATAAATCAGTATTGTAGATGATAAAAAAACAAAAATTAAAAATCTTCCCTGCACTGATGATAGTCATTTTTGGGATGGGGGGCTTTTATCCATTTCCGCAGTCACTCAGTAGCTGAACTGGGATCCACACAGATCTGCGCCCCGCGCCCCCTCCCGCTGCGGGAAATGCGTCCTAGAGCGCGCACCTCCCGTAGCGGCATGGGGGGGGGTTGTGCGCCCACCAACCAGATGGGTGGCGGGCATGCAGCTTCCCTCCCAAGCCTCTGCGGGGATTGTTCTCCTCCCTCAGCTGCATGGAGGAGAGTTGTGAGCCCACCCACTATATGGCTGGTGGGCGCGCAGCTTTCCTTCCTCACGGCTGCAGGAAACGCCATGACGACCCCCTTCTCTGCCGCCGGACAATGGAAGTGCGGGACTCAAAACGGAAGTGCACCCCCGAACGGAGTACGTTCGTATAAAAAAATACCTAACCCGGAACACTCATGAAGTGTTCCTAATCCAAAAAGTTCATTAACTAGGCTGTTCATAACCCAAGGTACCACCGTATATACCCTTTTAAGAAAAGGGTAGGAAAATCAACAATGACATAATCTTGCCTATTACTGTGATATTTTGTAGAAAATATTTGTGTATGCATGTCATATTCAGTAGATAAAATCACTTCTCTTACAAAAGGCAATGTTCCTCATATTTCGGGAAACCAGTTTTTTTTATAGGATTGCTCTACACATTAAAAAATCAATCTTGGATGCACCGTTTTGAAAACATAGAATCAGCATTTTACAGTAAACTCCGTCCTCATCATGCTTGTAAGCTGCAGAATGTGTCCAGCCCCTTAGGTTTCTTTTACACTGCTTTCCCTTCTCAAAATTATTCTGACATTGACATTCTGTTTTATAGTTTACTGAATGCTCATCATGTCATTTCAGAAAGGTTCCAAATATACCCCCCATTGCTCATCTCTTCATGCTCAGTGCTGTACACATGTACAAGATTTTACATTGTCCAATATTTCCTAGTCTCATCTTTTTCCCAAGTCAGGTTGTGGTACTATTGTCAGTCTTCCCTGTCCCAGCAGATGTATGCTGATGCCATGAAACCAATAAAGTGTATAAAACTGAATTTGATTATTTTTAGTTTAAAAATTGTTCTTAACCCCATTAATGAAGACCAACTCAATTTAACGTTTACACATCTGTTCATTTTTCATTAAACAGAATAGTAATGCCTACATTTAAATTTGAATAGGTAGTGCTTGTATTAAATTCCATGCCACACATTCATCTTGAAACAATAGATAATGCAGAATACAGTAGCATTGCAATGTTGATTCAGAGAAATTAATTAAAAAAGTGAACACTGCAATATGCAGACCCATCATTTTTCAAACTGAGCAGTGTTTTATGTCTCATTGATTATCAATCGCAGAAGACAGATATTTCATTTAAATCAATTATAACTGCCTCAAAACTGTATTGTGGATTAGATTTGCAAAGAGAAACGATAAAATTGTGCGCTGAACTTTCAAGAAAAAATGCTCATAATCAGTACAATTGCTGCTGCGTTTCACAAGTTCAGACATTGCCCTAGCTATCTTACCTTATCTATGGCATCACACTCACGCTTTGGCATAGGTAAGCATTCTTATACCAGCAATAATATAGTCTGATGTAGTACAATACTGTTGTGTATGCATGTATGGCTAAGAAGAGAGGCAGAAGCAGGTGCTGATCATTGAGGATAACTTAAATAACTACTAAAGAGCCAGCTGGGTTGAAACAAGCATTATGGATCTGAGATAAGATGATAATGAATATCAGTGGTTGCGGAACTGAAGTGTATCCTTGTAAGATGAGCCACCCTAGGTCCTTCATACACAACACCAGTTTAATTGCCCATTCACAGTCCCTGTCCATGTTTATAGTCAGCTGTGTCCACTGACTATAGACTCAGTTTGCTCTAGTCTCATAGACATTTTATGGGTTATACTAGCCACCATAGTCAAACATACAGAGATATTATCTACAAAATACACTGTTCAATAGCTACTCATGTAGGCTTATGTTAGTATAAGCATGTCTGCAACTTGAAAAGGCAATGTCTCTCTTTGGGATGCAGAACCTCTTCCCTTGGGATGATGGAACACCAGGAGAGGGAGCTGCAACAATTTGATGTGTCATATACTGATAACAGACCAATAAACAATCATGGCTCAAGGCTTCCCATAACAGGAGGTGGAACAAGGGAAGGATAGATCTCTGTCTAAAGCAACACAGCTGGATAAGAGCTGAGGCAGTACAATATGTTTAGGATCAAGCTGGAATATCCAGTGAGATATGATTTAGAGCATGTAACTGTAATCTTAGAAAAGGAGAGGGGTGTCATAAATGTATGAGAAACGCCATGCTAAAACTCAAATCCAGCAATGAAATCAATTTCAACATACCATAGCACCTCCTTGGAGCAAGTTAAGTAGGAAACCATGCGTGCAAACATAAAGGATTCACCATATGGATCTCATTGCAAGATCTGTATAACCAGACATTTCCATTACATGTGTTTGTTAATTTTATCCATACTAATTTCTTTCATATACGTAGATGCCTGTGCCTTTACAAATCCCAACTTGTTCCTTTTATCATTATACATATATGTTAACTTAGGCTTAAGCAGCATTGTTAGTGTCAAGTCACTCCATTATGAATCCATTACTTCTGTGCTACACCCAAATAAGTGTTTAAATCTTAGAAGAATCCCTGAAATATAGTCTCTTTGACTGTGCTTTGGCTACAATCCTAGGCACATGTACCTGGGAACACGCCCCATTGAACTCAGTGGGACTTACCTTTGAACAGATATGTATAGGATCACACTGCAACCTATAGTTTTATATCTACTTACCTAGGAGCAGATCCCATTGAACCTAACAGGACCTAGAATCATTGTAAAGTTGGAAGGGACCATGAGGGTCATCTAGTTCAACCCCCTGCAATGCAAGAATCTTTTGCCCAACGTGGGGCTTGAACCCACAACCCTGAAATTAAGAGTCTCATGTTCTACCAACTGAGATTTGCTTCTGAGTAGACATATATAGTGCTGTCCTGTAAGGCTCTAATACTAAACACACTTTCCTGCAAATGGGTTTCATTGAATTCAGTGGGACTGTTTATTTTATTTTTATGCTGCCTTCAGGGAAGTAACTGTGATTAAGTCTGTGTATTGCGTAAAACTCAATCTTTTTGCATGAAGTTCCTCTCTTCGGAAAGCATGGGAAAATGCAAATCTTTTAATGGAATAAGGATACAGAATTAAACAAAGTAAAGACCCAGAGTTAATTTTAAAAGATATTTATTTATCAAACCATTTATCAAATGGGCCATCTCATTCAGAAGACCTATGGCCTGATCTGGGGAAGTCTGAGAACTAGACATCTCCTGCTCTTCCCCTTGCCTTTTCCATGCACAGTCTTGACAATTTTGCATGCATTACAAAATGTGTGTCACTGCACATGGAAAACTGAGGCAAAGAGGAAATGACTGGCCATACACGAGAAGGAATGCATGCATATGACTCATTGGACCATGTTGCCATATGACAAGCAGATGTCCTGACATCACCCTCAATCTATATCACAACCTTGGTTTTCCATCTCTCTCACACACCCCTCTTCTGCAGTTTTTCTGGTTCCACTACAAATGGGTGGAAATTGCTGGGAAATGGATTTTGGCTAAACATGAAGAGGAACTTCAAGCCGTTTGACTGTGGAACTAACTGCTTCAGGAAGTAGCAGCATTTAAGTAGAGGTTTGTCAGGGCTGCTGCAGTTGCATCTCACATTGCAAATCCTGCACTGTGCTGATGGTTGGCTAGATTACCCGAAAAGAACCATCCATTTCTTTGATTTTATCTCCTTTGTGCTAAACTCAGTGTCAGGGAACTGACATCGGAGCTAGAGGCGGAGGGGAGGCTCTCAAATGATGCTGGAGAAGGGCCCAGCAGGGAGAGAGGCAGATGGGGAAGCAAATCAGTGCAACACCAGAGATAAAGGGGGGCAGATGGGGGAATCGGAGAGAGGGCTCCAGGACTCTTCACCGGACACCAGCGGGGAGAGCACGGGTCCTCCGCTACCCACGCCCTCCCTGCGCAGAAGGCTTCCGCGCAGGGAGAGTAGGAGGAGACTTGGCATCAAACAACTTTTATGTTGGAAAAGGTTTAAGAAACGCCCACTGACGGATTCTGCTAGCGACTGAGGCAGCCACGAAGTGAAGGGCTGTCCAGACAGAAAGGTTTAAACAAGGCAACATAGCCAGGAGAGGCGGCAACTTACGCACGAGCAACCCATACTCATTACACTCAGGCTTATAGCAAGCCAATAAAAATCTCTTTAAATGTGGATAAGTAGCAGCATGCCAAAAGTTGAATGCCATGTGTGATAGCATATTAGAACAAGCCAAAGAGAGCTTGTACAAGTCTATTTCTATTTCTACGCAGATATGATAATGAGGAATTGCACCCTGACGTTTTGATCCTGTTCCTGCTGAAACTTCCATCTACAAGAAGTTGACTTTTTAGCTGCATATTGCTTGTAAATGCCCCCTCCAAAAAAAAATTTTTAAATTAGAAATTTAATTAATGCAGCAGACTAAGACTATCTACTAATATATGTTCATGCTGAATTGGTTCCATTCCCACCTTTTTATGGTTGATTAATTCCTAATGGCTGTACTAACCCTATTTAAATGTACAGAACTAAACATAAACAGAGTGTTGCTATGAAGCTACCTGCATCCACTCAAATTTCTTCTTCTATAAAACTATTAAATGTACAAGTACCCTTGTCTTCCTATGCCTCTCAACACCATGGAAATGTGCTAGCCATATTTGGCTATGCTGCTCACATGTAAAGGCTGCACTCGACCTAAGAAAGCTGGAACTAAGCTACGTTCTGCTCTTGCGTCCCTATGCCTGTCACTGTCCATGATTTGGTGGGCATCTGGAGTCTCCTATACCTGCTTTATTTAGAACCTTGCAAAACTGGGGTTCTAGATAACACAGGAAGCCCTCAGGAATAGAGGAGACTCCTCGGTTCAAACTTTACCATACAACTAGTAAAGAGCAACCGGCATAGTTATTGTTTGTATAATACACATTAAGCACCATTTTTTCTCTTGGGTGTGTTCCAGTACTTCAGTCCAATTTCTCATTCAGCATTTAGCATAGTATGTCAGCACCCTCTAGTGATGCTTTGGAACAATACCTGTTGAGGCATAGAAGTAGTCATTTCAGGAATGACAAAGAGAAAGGTATGCATACCATGCTACAACTAAAATAGCTTTGAGGAATCAGCCATAAAAAGGTGGGAATGGAACCAATTCAGCATGAACATATCTTAGTCTGCTGCATTTTTTTAAAAAAAAATACTAATATGCATTAGGTAAAGGTAAAGGGACCCCTGACCATTAGGTCCAGTTGTGACCGACTCGGGGGTTGCGTTGCTCATCTCGCTTTATTGGCCGAGGGAGCCGGCGTACAGCTTCCGGGTCATGTGGCCAGCATGACTAAGCCGCTTCTGGCGAACCAGAGCAGCGCACGGAAACGCCGTTTACCTTCCCACCGGAGCGGTACCTATTTATCTACTTGCACTTTGACGTGCTTTTGAACTGCTAGGTGGGCAGGAGCAGGGACCAAGCAATGGGAGCTCACCCCGTTGCGGGGATTCGAACCACTGACCTTCTGATCAGCAAGTCCTAGGCTCTGTGGTTTAACCCACAGCGCCACCCACGTCCCACCCATGCATTACCCATGTTCAGTTTTTAAGACCACTAGCTGTGTCATTATTACTCATTTGTTTTATGCAGTTCAAACTTTAAACTGTTCAGTCCGATTCAATCCCTGGCATCTCCAGGTTCTAGGATCTCTTACAATAGGACTGGGAAAGAACCCGGGACCCTAAATCATAGAACTCTAGAGTTCGAAGGGACTCAAAGCACCTTCAAGACCCAACTGCTGCACTGCAGAAACCACAAGTGCTCACTGATATCCAGAATAGACCATAGTATGCTCAGGTGTCTTCTCTTGAAGCTGTGCTTCTATTGAAAAGGCATTACATGTTCCCAGCACTTGATGTGCTGTATTTTATATAGCATCTTGACTGCTATTTCAATGCTACTAGGATTTCTATGTGGAATGCAATAGCCTAATGGGTATATGCCTGTAATATGAATGGTGCCAAATGATACAAACTGCCTTCTCCCAAACGCCAGCTATAAAGGAGCACTCATATAGCCTTTACAAGCTGCCATTCTCCTGCTCTGACAATGTTGCTGCACCATTGCAATTATCTCTTATGAACCGTTTTATGAAGCTTCAATTCCCCACCCCCTTAAAGGCTATGGGTCCCGCTCATATGAAACACGCATTTATGTTGTGTTCAGTATTCCGGGATCCAACAAGATGAAATTGGGTCTAGTCTATAATGGTAAATAATAAGTAAATATTGACTCTTTGTTTAAAAAGAGGACAGTGGGTATGGTTACCCTCTCATCTGCTATCCACTGTCTGGGGTGTTGGAGACCATTGCATAAGGTTAAAATTTAACTGAGAGTATGCTTTCCCTGACTGGCTAAATAAGCCCTTGGTGTTTAGATAAAACATTTTAAATCATATGTTCATATACCTGGGATACATGCTGTTTGCTTCAGGTGATCTTCATTTCAAACTACCTACCTCTTTGCTAATTCTTAAGTTGTTTTTGTTCCACAATGGCAGAATGCACCAGCAAAATATCTATGTTCAGCACAAGTGCTGTTGCTTATGGAACTAAATAGAATTGCTCTGACCTTGAGCTTTGTGATTACTAACAACATTCAAAATCAATAGGAGAGTGGGTAGCTGGATATTATAGCTTAGAGGAGCCAATCAATAAATCTTAAGTGAAGTCTTCATTTATCTGCTCTAAGAAACATGTTTTTGTCTAATACCAAAGTGATAAGAATACAAACATATAATGACTCCTTAGTTAAAAAATATACAGATGCATTACGCTAAAAAAAACCACCAAGATAATATTTGTAACAGTCCCAAGCAGAACTTGGCTTCCAAATAATACAACAAAATATTACATCAATAGAATAATCTTATCCTTGGTGGATACTTTGGAGTATGGTAGAATAGCTCCTATATCCCCTTGTGCTTATAGCCACAGGGTTACCCCAGCAAAAAAAATATACAAGGTTAGATGTCATTGCCCTGACAGGACTCTAGGCGTACCAGCAGGGGAACAGGACAGTGCTGGATGCATTGGAGAGAAATGGACTTTAAATTGAGACTAGACACCAGTCCTGATGGTGTAGTGTTTTGTAATGTTAGTAAGCTCTAACATTTCCAAATAACTTCCCCTATGGTGTCCGTTCCCTCAACACAACCACAGTGGAGAGCAGGATTCTTGTTAATTCTGTCAATTGTGGCACAACATCTGGGCTACATGAGGGTCAGGCTTAGTGGCAGATGGAACTGTTAGGCCATAAGACAGAGAGACCAACACTAGGTGGAGCCACAGCCAATGACAGGCAGAGCCTACTAAGCTACCTCATTCTTTTTCTCAATTCAGATTGAAGCGGCTTGAGGGAAATGCATAAAAACGCAGTATGAAACAAGATGATAGGTTCATGATAGATATGGATTGTGGCTAATAGCGTGGGTAAACCACATCCCAAACCTGCTTAGTTCTGCAAAGGCCAAACAGAGACTAAGTAGGAGGAAGCTGACAGACAGTGCCTCTACCCGCTAGACCAAGAAAGGCATGCCAGATGCACGCGTATGGGAAGAGGTTGTTCAGCCAACAGATGGGTCAGTAGACTCCTCACCTTCCTCCACACCTCTGTTTCCTAGAGCCAGGAGGCACTTGAAGCAAGAAGAATAGCAATGTGAAGGCGAAGTCTCAGGTTACGGGCACACAACGCATATGGGGAGGGTATATAAACCAGCTGGAGGTCGGGGTCTCATTGTTGCAACTGCTCTATAGTCATACCTCGGGTTAAATATGCTTCAGGTTGAGCATTTTCAGGTTATGCTCC